TATGGTGTGGATGTGGTAATTCCATGCTTGACTGGCTTTGAATTCACAGTTCTCCTCCTCTTACAGTGCTTGCCAAGCAAGACTGGAGAGGCCATTCTGGCCTGCAATTTAAAACATAGCTGAAAGGAGAAGAGATGAATTCAAAGAAGATTTTCTGCAAAAGTCAAGAGAATAGCTTCATCTAGAATTTGAACTCAGCTTTATAATTTCATTTTGCTTCTTGATAACTGCAACACGATATGCACACCTAATTTTGACAGCTTGACTGGCTTTGAATTCACAGTTCTCCTTCTCTTTTTTATAATTTGCAGACTACTTGGCTCTTTTCTAGAATTTGAACTCAGCTTTATATTTCTTTAACATGCATTTTGACAGCTGAAATTTTCGTTTTTTAGCACATGTCTTTAACATGCATGTGAAATTTCTATTATTCTTAGTTATGTCTGCCTTGTATCAATGTAACTTTGATATTTTTTTCCTGGCAACAACAAAAAGAAAAAGGATTGCTGGCTGCAGAACTGATTCACCCAACTTAGAATGAACTTTATACTTTGATGGATGATTCAATAAAATTCTGGTGCCTTCATTGCGTGAAACTACCAAAAACCAAAATTTAATCTAGCTATTCAAGGAAAATTCTAATAATGGCGTTGATTAGCATTTTATCGACAGAATTCTAAAAATTATGGATTTTTCTCTCTCCTTCTTGACATCTTTTGTCTTTGGCTTTTATTTTCTTAAAATTATTTTTTCTTTTGGGACAGACATTAGAAATTTTCCTTTCCTTTTCAAAATTTCACTTCTAAGCTTAAAAGTTATTCCTGACTTTTTTTTAGGTTTATTTATTCATTTATTTTTTGCATTTCATCTTTTTTTTTTCTTCTCAGAAGGGTAACTCAATGAAGATATTAATGTCTACTTTATAGATTTCAATGTCCAACAGCTTTTGTCCTTAATTAGTTGTCCTTAATTAGTTGTTCAGTTAATTACTTGGATTGACTTGTTGTCTTCACTTATGAAATGAAGCTTAACATAGAATGATGACAACTACATGTCCAATTAATTCTTTAGATCTTTGAATATTTTTCATTTTTTTACTTTTAAAAAAATGTTTATGGTCAGAATGTAATACAATTTTTCCAGATGAATTTTCTAATTTAATTTGTCACCTTCATTTGTAGAAGATTTCACTTACTGCCATATTTTTTAATCCTTTCCTATACAAAGTTTTTTCCCATCTTTAAATTTAATTGCTCAACTACTTTTAAAAATAAAGTTTTTTATGTCCATCAAATAGGCAAAAAACTTTAGCTTTTAAAATTAGATTTGCTATTACTGTGTGTACATACAAGTACCTGTTTTAACTGATCTATCTATCTATCTATCTATCTATCTATCTATCTATCTATCTATCTATCTATCTATCAGCAAATATTCCTAAAAATGAACAATAGATCTTTGGAGTGTCCAAAATAAACAAATACACACACATTTTGAAAAATTGCTATGCCTGAAACAGGCCATATAAATGGATAACTAAAAAAAATTCTATTATTATGTGCATTAAAAAGCTATTTAAAATTGAGTACATACACAAAGGAATATACAAATAATATATATATATATATATATATATATATATATATATATATATGTATGTGTGCATATATGTATGTGTGTATTTATTTATGTGTGTGTGTGTTTATTACTACAAACATTATAGTGAATACTTTATATTTGAAATAGATGACAAGTATCCACTATAAGTAAAAAAATAATAAATCCATTAATATATATATATATATATATATATATATATATATATATATATATATGACATGTGCTTAACCAATTTGTCTATCTAGGGCTTCTGGTTAAACAAAGCCCGAATATGAGTATCCATCTAAAAATAATGTTTAGTAATAAGTAAAAAAATTAAAATATGTCAGATTTAATACATTTCATAAAAAATAAAAATGTTTTTTAGTTATGTTAGGGTACAAAAGAGAGCACATATGGATGTTTCAAAAGCAATATATATATATATATATATATATATATATATATATATTATATATATATATATATATATTATATATATATATATATATATATATATATATATATATATATATATATATATATATATAGAGAGAAAGAGAGGGTGCCCTTTGATGTGGTGTAATGGTTAGCAAGCTTGTCTCGCTAGATCATTTATGACTGAGTAGTGACTTCGATCCTCAGTGGGTGCTCCATACTTTAGCCCTTGTACCATATCTAAGCTATACTTAGTGAAATGCCATACATATTTAGAGAGAGAAAGAGTGATAGTTGCTAGCATACTTCACTGATGGTTGCAAGTTTTCATTTTTTACATCTTGGTAAATGATTTTGAAAATTCTAACCTAACTTATGGAAAAATCTGTATTTTTATCCTTACTCTGTCTGTCCCTTTGAGCCATCATCTGAGGTTTTCAACCTCAGCACAAGATATCTCTGTCTGTTTGGATTTATCCAGCTACCAAAAATATGAGAGTCTCTTTCATCTCTGTCTCCATTTATTGTAAGTCAGTGTGACAAGATCAGCTTATGGTCAGAAGAAACTGGATGATTAGCACATTTCTCATAACAACTTCAGAAACTGGAGAATTCTATTTGTAAACTTTTTGTTAACCCTTCCCAGGCTGACCACCCAAACTGATGTGTTTGCTTACAATCCAGTCTAACAATACCAATTGTCTGTAGAGGGGAACACTCTTTTGAATCTTTCAGTGAAACATGGTGGCTTTATGTTCTGGTGGTATACAATATAAGATATGCAGATGAGAATGTTTTGGTGGCAGATACATAAAAAAAAATGTTTGAACTCTTAGACAAGATAGTAAGAGAAGGCAGAAAGGAATGGCCAAACATCAATTATAAGAAAACAGAATGTATAGTTGTTAGCAAGAGGAACAGTCCAAGATGGAAGCTATGAAATGGAAATCTCAGATTCAAGCAAATACAGAAATTTAAGTATCTGGGAATTATTATAAGAGAGAACAGGAAATGCAATGCAACAATGAAAACTGAAGGCACAATGCTAAACAAAGTACAAAGAAACAACAAAAAGGAATGCTGTAATATACATCTTCCTATGAAGTTTGATCAAAAAGTATCAGGACTGTGACTATGACTGATTATGGTAATAAAGCTAAAGTATACAAAGTGAAGCCACTTGGTACAGCTTGACTTTGAAGTCTGTCACACATGCATACTGTTATAACATTATTGCTAACTTAAGTTGTTGATAGCAGTGATTTGAAAGCAAATATATAGAATGTGGTTATTTCACTACACCAGAGATTTCATCAGAGACCATAGCTTGTGCAGAAGTTTTTAGCCAAAAACCAACATTGCCCAGATCTAAATCTCATTTGAAGGGAATAAGATATCAAATAAATCCAATAAAATGCAATGAGGCAGCTGCTTGCTATCTCAAAAAGAGAAGTTCCATGCGGATTTATAGGGACATTATTATTATTAATAAATAAAAATAAAATATAAAATAATAATAATAATGAATATCATAAATAAAATAAAATGAAACAAATAACATTAAAACTTTGTTTAAAATAAATTAAATAAAACAAAATAATAAAAATTCTCCCAGCATGCAACCAAAACATTTCTTGCCTGAAAACAGACTTTGAACCAAAAGATGCTGAATTCACTCTCGTTGGGAAGTCAAGATGTCCAGCTTCTCTCTTCAACACATTGTTTGTTATAATATAAAGTGACTTCTTCCTTTTGTCGCATGCAACCTTAAAACACTTGTAACTAAAATACACACACACACCAGTACACAAAAATAAATAAATTGCATGATTTTAATTTAAAATTTAACATAATTTTAGTGTTATTTCTGTGTAAGTTTTTTATCCCTGTGAATACAAGGCAATTTCTGCTGCAATGATGTGAGTAAACTCACAACTCTCATCAATGAAAATGAGGCTGGATAGAATGTGTCTTCTTCAAAGAGACTACTTCAAAGGAAATTGAATGCCAAATTAATATGTGTTGTTGTTGTTGTTTTCCTTTTATAGCGTCAGTCCTGATGCTTTTTGATCAGACCTTCTATATGGAACTGAATGTTGGAGAAGTTACCTCACATCTGAATAGCTGAGCTGAGACAACAGAGATGATTCTATAGAAGGATGCTGAAAATAACGTAGATAATCCATGTAAACAATGAGAAAATTGATAGATAATCAAATTTTGATACTATGAAAATCACAATATGGACTTTTAAATGTGCAAGAGACTTTGTTCTTGATATTGATAGTGTTAGAAGTAGGAAAATAGATGAATTTAGTTCTGATGAAGATTTGAAATTTGACAGTCAGTTGTCAGTTGTACATGTGAATCTATTTGCAATATATTCTGTATAGATACCAGTAATAAGTAAGACAAAAAAGTTGTATTTGTGAAATACAATTAGATAAAAAAAATGACTTCCAGTTGGAAATACACTAAGGAGGAAGCAACTTTAAGGAAATAAAATAAGAATAGTAATCATATCTTCCAATTGAAAATGCTTACTGTCTCTTGGCACTATCAGGAACAGAATATGTAAAAGTTGAAATTTCTGTTCATCTGCAAGTCTGTGGGTAAGAATTTCATTTGCCACCTACTGGCCCTTCCTGATTATCTACTTCCTTGATCACTTAGATGTTGCAGGTTTCTTATCAGAAAGAAAAAATGGTTCAAGTCTTTTCATAGCATTATCTTATTTTTTTTTCAGCCTTTTTCTTTATTTTTTCTTTCTGTTTCTCTTACATTTTTCCCTCTTGCATTTATCATTTTTTTTCTTATTTTCTTCATTTATTTTTCTTTTTTTTCATTTTCCTTGGTAATTTTTTATCCATTTTCTTTCTTTTCTTTTCATTTTTTAATTTCTTTCTCTACTTTTTGTTCTTTTCGACTATTTTTTGTCACATTACACTTGTTCCTTTATTTTTATGCCATATTCTTTCTCCCTTTCTTTCTTTCCTTCTTATTTTCCTTCCTATATTTTTGTTTTTTTATTTTTATTATTTTTCTTCTATAATTTAAAAAAAATATTTTGTCTTCTCTTTCTTTCCTTCATCTTTTTTTATTTTTATTTTCCTTTACTTTCTTTATTTTCTTCTTCACTATTCTTTTTTTCATTGTACTCTTTCAATTTCTTTTGGTTTCTTCATTCATTTTTCTTCTGTTTTAATTTTCTTTAGTTCTTCTTCCTCTTTTTTTTGTCCATTCTCTTGCAATTTTATTTTATCCTGGCTGAGATATATTTTTCACATTGCTTTATTTTTGGTCAATATCTGGCATTCTTCTGAGTAATTTCAATTGAAAAATATTTCTTTCTGCTAATGTTCCTTTTAACTATTGCCATTTTGGTTTTTCAATGTGTATTCTCACATTACCTTGCTTAGAGATTGGAATCAATACTTCAAACAAAGAAATGAAGAACTTAGTAACAGCTCTCAGAGTCTTTGTAAACCAAGTTATTTGTCCCGTTTCCTCAAGTTTAATAACACTAAATAATTGATAGTGTTAATAGTAATGGTAATATTAACCATTTTTCTATATAGAAATATTCATAATTTATTGACTAAACAGCCATTCATAAAATGTTTTGCTCAAAGCAGCTTTTCAGAAAACAGGTTTCTCATATCCAGTAACTGTTATTCCTCTTTTCACTTCTGACAGGGCTTGCTTACTTTTGTTTGAAGTAGTGTAGAACATCAACATTTTGGCTATATCACTATTTTCTCTTCAAGTTAAATGTACTATCCATTTTAGTTGTTGCAGACATTGAAAGTCTTCAAGTGATATGGTTTCTGTTATTTGGTACAGTTCTTTGTTTACAATTCTTTAGTACCTATCCATGAAGCTTAAAGAATGAAGGTCCTTACTAAGATTTACTGGGTTCATTCATACAAAGTCATTTTTAATCTGAGAAAGTGATAACAATTATTTTCATTTTAAAATCACTGTATTTCAGTGAATATAAAATCTAATTTTTCATCACAAAACTTAGAATGTTATAAATGCCTAATAACTGTACAAAAAGAGACCTTCTTAGAACAGGCGAAGTAAGGAATATGAATAAGATTTAAGTAACAGTCAACATATAATTTGACAGTTTTTGTCTTAATATTTTCTAATGAAATAAAGGTAGGAGTCTTTTATGTTATCAAATATGGTGACTATTTTTTGTAGGAGTTATAAAGAATAAAACAGTGGCCTCAACTAAATTGAGGAAGAGGAGGATATCCACAAATTTTATAATAAATTTACTTCCATTCACTTTAAGATATATTTTCACAAAGGGTATATCCTTTAACAAGAATGTAAAATTGTTGTCTACCAAAGGTTTTTTGTTCAGTGAATTGTCCATAGGACAGCAAGGCAAGGAGCTCCACAGATGTAACTCTTCTGCATTAACCTTATAATTCAATAACTCCACAATCTTTATGCTTCATCATCATGTTATTAGGTTTGCCAGATTTTACAGTATCAAGTTTTTAAAAGACAACTGCTAGGGGGGGGGTATGTGTACAACTGGGGAAAAGATGCACGGATAAAAGCATATATGAATGTGTAGATGCAGCTCATCTTTTATACCATCTCTGGAACAGCACATTAAACATGATTTACATAAAAATATATCTTGTTATTTCAGGGGTACAGATGGACACATTAGCTCTAAGTGGGTGTGGCACTGTCCTACTCCATAGAAACTCTGTTCCTGTATATTTATTCTCTCTACTCTCTAGGCCAGTCTTCTCAAATAAAGAGCATTCTTTCTTTGTCATGTCTTTTGCCTCCTGTTGATCTGAGGCTGCAACAAGAAGCCAAACTTAATTTGGCTTCCAGGTGAGACCACAAGAAGAAGACTGTTTCTAGCATTATCTTTTCAACTGAAGTTTTATCTTAGAACATTTATTCACAAAGCCAAAACCATTAATATATATATATATATATATATATATATATATATATATATATATGTAAGAAAGCAATCTAGTTGTTCATGTAGCATGATATCACAAGGAAGATTTATGAAATAAATAACAAAATTTTTTTATCCACTCTAATCACTTTTTATATAAACTGTGACACAGCAAATATTAAAAGTATATTTATAAGAAGTAAACTAACACCAAATTTCCGTAGTACAAAGGGGTGGTAAAAAAATTCCTGACCCATTGCTTGATATCAGGATACTAGCTTTTGGGCAGTAGGTGTGTATGTGTGTATCTCAACCCAGATCATACAAAATAGACTTTGCACACAGTGTCCTCCGGAGGAGCCAACTGCAATGCTGACCTTGGACAACCTCCTACCTAGGGTTGGAGTTCTGTGATTCACCTTGCATCAGTGGTGATCCCAACTGGTGAACATATGTTAGCTTAGCTGTGCCTGATATGTATGCACATAAGAAAAGCCACTGGAAAAGGGGCAGTCTTTCTCAAACATCGCAGATGATAATGTACTGTCCACATTTGGAAGATGGCTCTGCTGCTGTACACATGCATGCACACACACTCACACCCAGACACATTTATTATGTATGTGTGTGCATGTGTGCACATGCACACACATACACAAACACATACACACTCATGCACACATACTCTCATGAACACATATGAACACAAACACACACACACTGGCTCAGGGAAATTGATGAAGTACAGAATTAAACAAAATGCATTGTTAAATATGAGGCATTAAGTTTTGTGTTATAATTTGTCTGCATTCCTATATCAAAACATATATATAGATATCAAAACATATACATTCAGTTTTAGTTGGGGGTCATTGTGTTAATGTAAATTCCATGGTTCTTTCCTTAGCTGTATAGTATGTACATTGCCAGGACTAAATACGGTTTTGAATTTCTTCTCCTAGATTGGTTGCCATTTAAGAGGTGGATTTGTTTATGAATTTATTTTCTGTTAGCCTTTCCTTAAAGAGGCAGAAGCAACAATGCAGCAAGTGTTTCGAATTCAGAATTTCCTTCTAGAGTGGATGCCACATAAAACTAGAGGACTTAGTCTGTCCTGCTATTTAACCCATAGCTGCAGGGAGAAGAGATGGATTAATACCTTTCCCAGGGGTATTAGCATATAAGTGAATGTAATGAACTCAAATGAAATTTGAATTTGGCTCTCTGATTCCTCAATCCAAGCTGCTATACATTACTCCACCATGTCACCAGAGACTGTCTAATAAATATTATTCACCTATTTACCTTGTGTCAGATTAAAGTAAATGTAATTAATATCTATACTTACCTGCCATGCACAAGCACAAATTTGTAAGCAGAAGAGAGAATCTATTTAGTCAATCATTCCTAAGAAATTTGAAATAATTTGACAATGTACTTAGAAATGTGGGATGATCTTGATTGCTAACCTTACTAAAGCTTCTCTTAATGATACCCAGAGCAAAGTATTAAGAAACAGAAAAATATTATAAGAAACAAGGAAAAGTGTACTGAACTATTGTGTCGTATCAGTTCTCCTCTATGGCTATAAATATTGGACAATTTCCTCACAGATGAAGAAGTGACTTAAAACAACAGAAATATGGTTCTGCCAAAGGATGCTGGTAATACCATACACTGAATATGTGAGCAATGCTGAAGTTCTAGAGACAATGGTAACGAAAAAGACAATTATACTTAACATCAGGAAGAGGGAGTTGAAATTTCTGGGGCACATAATGAGGAAAGAAGGCTTGAAAAATTTGATAATCACAGGATAGATTGAAGGGTAAAAGGGGCCAGAGGAAAGTAATGTACAACCTACCTGGCCAGGGGTGGAGCAGGGTTTGAGAGAGATGGCAAACAGATAAAACTGAGAGCTTCAGAGGACAAGAAATTGAGGACAGCCAAAATATAGCATGAATTAAAAAGATGATCATTTAATAATTACCTACATTCTATGAAAAAACTAATACAAACAGAAAAATATAAAATTTGGAAGGATGCTTGCAATGACATAATCAAAATGTTAGCATTCTACCCTACTCCAAAGAAAAGGTTAGAAAGGAAAGCATCATCATTATTGAAAAGAATGATAACATCTACTGGACTTGAAGAACTTTTCCTGAAAAATTGTTTGAAGAGAGAGATTTTATAAATTTCAACTGAAAGCTGTACTGGCTGCTTGGTCAATGAATGTTAAATGTTTCCTTTTAGGGAAAGGCTAATATTACCATTGACCTTACAGTATACACTCTCTGACAGAAGAATTTGTAATGGGCCATTCTTAATCTTTTGCTTATATTTTATACCAATGAAATATATTTTTGGGAAGTAATATCACTTCTAGAAATTTTGCTGATAAATGAAACCAGAGTTAAAAATCTTTGATTGGTAGGTCCTCATCATTAGTGATTCTTGAATACTGATGTCTTAGTGTAAGGTTTTCAAAATGATTGAGAATTTTTTATAACCTATTAAATTGTTGGAAAATATTACCTAGAATTTAGACTACAATTTGATGGGATTTTTGCTACTTACATTGATAATTTATTGATTCATGACATTATTTTATAAAGACGAAGAAGTGATTTGCTCAAAATGTTGTGGAAATAAGAAGAAAAAATTTCAGAAATGAAAAGCAGACTGGTGCCAATAATAAAACTGCAATATTACACACAAAAAGAAATGACATAAACCTATATTTCCCCATACAAAATAATATACCATGAAGCTTTTCTGTCTATTAATATATATATATATATATATATATATATATACATATATATATATATATATATTATAAATTAATTGATTTAAAATATGGGTTTTTTCGCTACATAGTTCTAACCACGTTTCAAAAATGGAAGCTAAAAGATCCGAATTTAATTTTGTGATTAAATTAAAGACATTAGTTCCATTTCATCCTCAAGCGAATTTTGGTGTAACTCTTAAAATTACTAGGTTTTAAATACACAGCTAAAACAAAATTCATGTTTCCAAGGTTACAGATAAATCTATTTTTCTAGACAGAGGTAACTGGGTGTTCAATATGTCTATATTTTAATGTATCAGTTATTGCTATGTTTTGGTAGTGGGAAGGGATATATTTTTCAATGAAATCTAACATTCGTTAAAAGTGTATATATATATATATATATATAATTTGAAGGTATGCTATTCATAGGTTAAGGGCCTCAATGTCAGAGATGAGCGTATATAAATATGAAAGTGGGGCATCTTAGGTGGTGTAATGGTTAGCAAGATTGTTTTGCTAGAACAATTACAACTGAGTAGTGAGTTTGATCCTCACTGGGTGCCACCTACTTTTTGACATTGTGCCACATCTAAGCTACACTTGGAAAATCACTACAAATATAAAAGTGGGCATTGGAGTCAACACTGTGGAGACAGACTGTATCATGCTTAAATGCAACTGTCAACCCTGATGATTGCATTTAAGCATGAAACAGACTGTTGCCACTGATTGTTGACTTCAATGTCTGCTTATATATATATATATATATATATATATATATATATATATGTATGTATATTAATCTATACATATACTTTGTATATGTGCATGTTTTCCTGTAAAAATATGAACATATATATTAAAAATAGAAATATATACATGTTTATAAATATATATATATGTGTGTGTGTGTGTATGCAAAATTTCAAATATAACTAAAATTATATCTGTAAAAGGCAATCTTGAGATCAAAGTTATGGTTGAATTTATTTCTCTGTATGACTAATACATTAAAAGAAAAATTAACCTACTTAGATGGAAAATTCTGTATTTGAATCTTAACAAAATATAAATCTATGGCCCAGGAATGTTCAGATATTTCCATTCCTAAAAAGAATTATCTCTTTCCCAAGCAAACATACATGGCTATGAAAATATTAAAAAATGGTTAGATTCATAACTTCATGTTATTAAAATATATTAAACATAAATTAAACCCAAACTAAAATAACATAAATATTAATTACATTACAAATAAAAAACATTCAAAAAACATCATTTTTACTCATTTTGGTTTATTACATTAAATCATTTAACATCCTTCATAATTGACACTGACATTCCAGTTGAGCTAATGAATATTTATGAGCATTTCATAAATTAAAAATTTTGAAAAACTAACCAAATTTTTATTTTGTATATAAATACTTGTTGCAAAATAATAAATTCTTTACATTTGCCTTGATAAAGAAACATTTCAGCTAAGATAAGTTTGCCTTTTGTCTTTATTCATATATATATATATATATATATATATATATATATATATAGAAACACCAAGAGGTGCCTGACCAAAAGTATATATATATATATATATATATATATATATATATATATATATATATATATATATATATATATATATATATATATATAACATATACATATATATGTATATATATATATATATATATATATATATATATATATATATATATATATATATATGTATGTGTGTGTGTTGATAGATAGATTATATATATATATAATTGGTATAATAAACAGCACTCACTGTCTTGTTAACTGAGCTATTGTAAAATATATATATATATATATATATATATATGTGTGTGTGTGTGTGTGTGTGTGTGTGTGTGTGTGTGTGTGTGTGTGTGTGTGTGTGTAATTTATAATTCTACAATATATGCAAAACTATATATATATTAAAC